TATGTGAGGGAAATACGAGTACTTCAGTTTCACGAATGTCTGAGTCATTAGTGTATGTGTGGGAGGCACGAGTTCTTCAGTAGCATGACTTTCTGAGACATATATGATTGTATAGGTGTATATGCGGATGTATGTATGGGTGTATGTGTGGGAGTTACGAGTACTTCAGTCTCATGACTGTTTGAGTCATATGTGTATGTGTGGGTGTATGGGTGGGTGTATGTGTGGATATGTGCGGATGTATGTGTGGGAGATATGAGTACTTCAGTCTGATGACTGTTTGAGTCATATGTTTATGTGTGTATGTATGTGTTTGTGATACTAGTACTTTAGTTTAACGACTTTTCTCACTCAAATATGTATGTGTGGGTATGTGTGTATGTGTGGATTTATGAGTTTGCGTTTGCGTGTGTGTTTGTGGGAGGCATGAGTTCGTAAGTGTATCTCATCAGTGTGGTTCATATGTTCATGTGTGGGTGTATGTGTGGGAGATACGAGTACTTCAGTGATATGACTGGCTGAGTCATATGTGCATGTGTGGGTTTATGTGTGGGAGACACGAGTACTTTAGCCTAATAACTGAGTCATATGTGCATGTTTGGGTGTGTGTGGGAGTATATGTGAGAGTGTGTGTAGGAGATACGAGTACTTCAGTGATATGACTGGCTGAGTCATATGTGCATGTGTGGGTTTATGTGTGGGAGACACGAGTACTTTAGCCTAATAACTGAGTCATATGTGCATGTTTGGGTGTATGTGTGGGAGTATATGTGAGAGTGTGTGTAGGAGATACGAGTACTTCAGTGATATGACTGGCTGAGTCATATGTGCATGTGTGGGTGTATCCGTGGAAGTATGTGTGGGAGACACAGTCTCATGACTGTCTGAGTCATATGTATATATATAGGTGTATGTGTGGGAGATACGAGTACTTGAGTCGCTCTCTCATCACTATTTGTGTCATAAGCGCATGTATGTGTTGGTGTATGTATGGGTGTATTTTGGGGACAGATGCATATACACACACACACACACACATATATATATATATATATATATATATATATATATATATATATATATATATATGTGTGTGTGTGTGTGTGTGTGTGTCTGTGTGTTTGTGTGTGTACGGGTGAGTATGTATGTCGTGTATGGTTGTCTGTTTATGTATATAGTCGTGGTGGTTTTGTGGTATGTGTGTGTGTGTGTGCGTGCGTGTCTCTGTATCTCTCTGGCAATATATTTACTTGTATGCCAGTGCAGAGATTGGTAAAATTAAGTAGCCAGGCAGATTTCAAACATAAAAACCTTCCTGTAGACAGTAGCTCACATGCAGACACAGAGACACACACACATTCAGAAACACAAACATTTACACACACAAGCAAACAGAGAGTCTGGAAAACAGACTAGAGGAAGTCAGAAAAACACACACATAGTCAGGACAACAGAGGTTTAGACATTCAGGGAATCGCACAGAGATGGTCAGGAAAACAGTCTTCTAGATATTCAAGCAGTAACTTAGAGATGTTAAGGAAAACTGACGTCTAGACATTCAGGGAATCACACAGAGAATGTCAGGAAAACTGACGTCTAGACATTTAGAATATCACCCGTAGATGGCCAGGAAAACTGACGTCTAGACATTTAGGGAATCACACAGAGATGGTCACGAAAACATACATCTAGACATTCAGGGTATCACACAGAGATGGTCAGGAAAACTGACGTCTAGACATTTAGGGAATCACACAGAGATGGTCACCAAAACATACATCTAGACATTCAGGGAATCACACAGAGATGGTCAGGAAAACATACATCTAGACATTCAGGGAATCACAGTGAGATGGTCATGATATCTGACGTCTAGACATTCAGGGAATCGCACAGAGATGGTCAGGAAAACTGACGTCTAGACATTTAGAATATCACCCGGAGATGGCCAGGAAAACTGACGTCTAGACATTCAGGGAATCACACAGAGATGGTCAGGAAAACTGACGTCTAGACATTCAGGGAATCACACAGATATGGTCAGGAAAACTAACGTCTAGACATTTAGGCAATCACACAGAGATGGTCAGGAAAATTGACGTCTAGACATTTAGGAAATCACACAGAGATGGTTAGGAAAATTGACGACTAGACATTTAGGCAATCACACAGAGATGGTCAGGAATATTGACGACTAGACATTCAGGAAATCACACAGAGATGGTTAGGAAAACAGACGTCCAGATATTCCCCCCTCCCCTCCCACCACCTCAACCCCAATTACCATGTTGATGACAAAAGGGGCCAGTACTCCTCCAACTTTGGCTGCCGTGTTGGCTGCCCCAAACCCCAGAGTTCTGAAATACAATAAATTAAAGAGCAAGGTGATTATAGATTATTTGCATTTATGTTCCACTTCATTTAGTTTGACCTTCCCGCCTCGGAAAACAGCGGAGTCTAGAAAATGGATTCAGGAAGATCACATTTGTGGAGCTCGATATCGGTGCTTGGAACGTTGGCTAGACTAAGGACTAAGTCTGTGGGCTGACCACACGACTGAGAGTTGTCCCTGATGCTAGGCTAGTGTGAGACTCCAGGGTCTGACTACACCACAGAGAGGTGTCCCAACCCTGGGCTAGTGAGAGACTCCAGAAGTAACCACACCATAGAGGAGTGCCCCAACCCTGGGCTAGTGTGAGGTTCCGAGGACTGACCCCACCACAGAGAAGTGTCCCAACAACAGGCTAATGTGAGACTAGGGACTGAACACACCACAGAGAAGTGTCCCAACAACAGGCTAGTGAAAGACTTCAAGGTCTGACCACACCACAGAGAGGTGCCCTAACCTCATCATGCTGCTAGTGTGATGTCCTGTGAACGGAGAGGTGTCTTATATTGGGAAGTGCGATGTACCATCATACAGGCGGATGTGTACACTTGGGCTTAGAGACTGGAGACTGCGACATGGCCGTAAAGATAACAGCCATGAGGTACACACAGATATACACAACCATAGATACACATAGATACACACAGATACTGGTACACATATTCAAAAACTCACAGATACATATCCATTGGCATACTAAGATACAGACACAGGTACACATACTCATACACACACACATATGTGTGTTGTCCATCAAGATGATGATGACCACTCTTTTTCATCCATTATGAGTACGAAGATGACCGATGAGGCCGATGCGGGTCCAAACAGTTCTTGAAAAGTGAAACAGGGAATGAGCGTTGTGCCAGGGTGGGGATCTCCTGCAGTCGCCATTCTGTCCATCATTTTCTTAATAAGTCTTGCTGTTCTGTTTGCTTCACATGTAGCCGCGCCCTTGTGTAGAGGTGAACGCCATGCATTTCGGTCTTGAGAGGCAGCCTCCCAATTGGTGTCATTCATCCCAAATGCTTTAAGTGAAGACTTCAAGGTGTCCTTAAAGCGTTTCTTTTGCCCCCCTTTGGAACTTTTCCCATTTTGACGCTCACCATAGAAGAGTTTTTGGGGAGCCTGTGATCTGGCATGCGTGCCACATGACCAGCCCAACGAATCTGATACTGTATCAGTAGAGTGTGGATGCTGGGCATGGCTGCTTTCTCAAGGACTACGGTATCCGGTACTTTGTCTTGCCATCTGATATGCATTAGTTTTTTTAAGGCAGACTGTGTGAAAGTGGTTTAACTTTCTAGCCTGGCGCTGGTATACAGTCCATGTTTCGCATGCGTACAGCGGTGTAGTTAAATCAACTGCTCTGTATTTCCTTAAAACTTTGACTGTTCCAAAAATTTTTGAACAATCTGCCAAAGGCAAGGCTAGCCCTAGAGATCCTTGCATTTATTTCGTCATCAATTGTGGTATTCTGTGAAAGTGTGCTGCCTTGATAGGTAAATTTACTGACAACGCTTAATCTGTAGCCATTCACTGTGATATTGGGCTCGATGTATCTTTGCCCTGGGGCTGGTTGGTGCATGGCTACAGTTTTATCTTTGTTGATGGTGAGATCAAAGTTTGTACAGGCATCACTGAATCAGTCGATGTGCTGCAAATCCGCTTCTGTGTTGTCATAAAAGGGCACAATCGTTGGCAAACAGGAGCTCACTGATGGTGTCTGGTATAGTTTTTCTTTTTCTGCTCTCAGCCTCCTGAGGTTGAACAGCTTTCCCTCCATGCGGTGATTTATGTTGATCCCAGTGTGATAATTTACAAAGTCATCAGTCAGCATGGCTGAAAATAACAGACTGAACAGTGACGACGAAGGCAAGCAGCCCTGTTTGACTCCGTTTTTGACTGGAAAGGACTCTGACAGTTCACCAGTATCCTGCACTCTTGCTTGCATGCCATGATGAAACTGACGCACTATCTGAATAAACTTGTATGGGCAACCAAATTTCTAGATAATCCTTCACTTTCTATCTCGATTTACTGTGTCGTAAGATCAATAAAGGTAGAAAACATGTTCAAATGCTGTTCTTGACATTTCTCTTGCAGCTGTCTAGCAGCGAAAATCATATCAACAGTTCCACGATCTTTTCTAAAAACCACATTGACTTTCAGGAAGGAGACCTTTGTCGAGATGAGCTATGAACACACACAGATACACAGTCACAGACACGCGGGAATACACACAGACTCAGGTACACATACTCATACACACACCGGTACACAGCTTCAGACACACCGCGATAGAGACACGGGTACACACACTCGTATACACACATATACGCCCATATACATACAAATATGAACACATTCCTGGAGGGGGCAACAGATGCCACAGAATCGATGTAAGCTGCCAGTCGCGACTTCTTCACTTGATTAACAAAGTCGATACCGTTTATCCTCCTCATTTTACCCCCTCCCCCGCCCCACCCCTCCCCACCCCATTGTTTTTAACACCTCGCCAACATGTCTTCAACATCTGTGCCCAGAAAACATCACGAAGTTGAACAGGATCAATCAGTGAATCAATCAATCAATCAATCAATCATGGTTATCACGGCGCTGGTATAAATACATCCGGGGTAGGGTGGGAAGGGAGATTGGTGTTGTTGTATTTGGGTCACTGATTAATACACGCATACAGACACACACACACATACACACACATACACACACACACGGGAACCACAGCCGCAGTAAAAGACATATGTAATAGTATACACACACAGACACACGTGAAGACACACAAAGACACACGTAGAGACACAAACATACAGACACGCACACACACACAAACACACACACACTGATACAGACACGAACACACACACACACGCAGACAGACACACACGATAGCTTTAATCAGAGTACAAGACATGGGTCAGAAGACAGACAGTCAGACAGACACACACACACGCACACACACACACACACACACACACACACCTGCAGACATTGAATGACAATACAGGAAATGGGATGAATGTAGAGGACATGGGGTGACTGTAGAGGACATGGGGGTGACTGAAGAGGACATGGGGTGACTGTAGAGGACATGGGGGTGACTGTAGAGGACATGGGGGTGACTGTAGAGGACATGGGGGTGACTGTAGAGGACATGGGGGTGACTGTAGATGACTTTGGAGGAAACCCAAATTACGACATAACAGAAGAGTAAGGACATCACAGAGCAGTGCAAGACACGAGAGGACATTATGGACATATTAGAACAGTGCAGGACATCAGAGTACAGTGAGGACATAACGGAACAGAACAGGACACACGAGGACGGTAAGGACATAACAGAGCAGAGCAGGACACAAGAGGGCGGTAAGGACATAACAGAGCAGAGCAGGACACAAGAGGGCAGTAAGGAGATAACAGAACACAGAAGAGGGCGGTAAGGAGATAACAGAACACACAAGAGGGCGGTAAGGAGATAACAGAACACACAAGAGGGCGGTAAGGAGATAACAGAACACACAAGAGGACGGTAAGGAGATAACAGAACACACAAGAGGGCGGTAAGGAGATAACAGAACACACAAGAGGGCGGTAAGGAGATAACAGAACGCACAAGAGGGCGGTAAGGAGATAACAGAACTGTGCAGGACAGGATAGCGCAATAAAGGACTCACTACACTACATCTGTAGGAATAAGTTATGACACAAAAAAGACACCGGCAAATAGACATGTATAACTTGTCACTTGTGTGGAACAGAACAGGGCACTCACCTAATCACAGTCGGGTAGACCTCAGTGGACACAACAATGAAGACGGCCGCAGCACCTGCTACGAACACTCGACAACTGATGCACATGATAGTGATGGACATGTCCCTGTTGGCCATTGTGGGAACCACTGGTCACGTTTAGTGACCGGCGTTGGAGTGAAAAACAAGAAATCAATAGCGTGAAAAAACATTTATTTGTCAGTCGTTCTATCCTAGATACGTTTATCCATGTAATCGTTCATACAATATTATACAGACCATGCACACAGTATGATATGTTCTATTCGGACACCGAGATGTAGCATACAGTCTATCTAGCCTCTTTCCCCACCATTCACAGTGTGTCTATATTCTCCCAGCACCCACAATCTGTCTAGTCACTCTCCCCTAGCACCAACTGTCTGTCTATTTTTTCTCTCTCCCAGCACCCACAGTCTAGTCTATCTTTTCCAGCACCCACAGTCGGTCTAGCTTCTCCCGAGCATCCAAAGTCTGTCTAGTCTCTCTGCTCAGCACGTACATTCTGTCTAGTCTCTCTCTCCAAGAACTAACATTCTGTCTTGTCACTCTCTCTCTCCCAGCACCCACAGTCTGTCTGGTTTGTCCCCAGCACCCACAGTCTGTCTGGTTTGTCACCAGCACCCACAGTCTCTCTCGTCTCTCCCCCAGCACGAACAGTCTGTCTTGTCTTGCTTCTCTAGCACCCACAATCTGTTTAGCCTCCCTCCCTCCCCCAGCAACCACAGTCTAGCCTACCTCCCTCCCCCAGCAACCACAGTCTTTTCAGTCCCTCGTATAGCAGCCACAGTCGTTAAGTCTCCTCCCAAGCATCCACAGACTGTCTAGTCTCGCCCCTAGCATCCTTAGCCCGTCTACCCACTCTCCCCAAGCACCATCAGCTTGTCTAGTCTCTCTTTCCCAGCACCCACAGTCTGTCTTGTCTCTGTCTCCCAGCAACCATAGTCTGTTTAGTCTCTTTCACCACAACCTACATTATGTCTAGTCTCTACTCCCAGTACCCACAGTTTGTCTGGTTTCTCCCTAGTATCCAGACTGTTTTGTCTTTCTCTCCATGCTCCTAGATTATCCCTACCCCAGCAGCAATTTCTGTATAGTCTCCTTCCCAGTCCTGTCTTGTCTCTCTCTCTCACTCTCTCTCTCTCTCTCTCTCTCTCTCACCCCCCAGCACCCACATTCGGTCTAGAATATCTCTTCCATCACCCAAAGTATGTCTTGTCTCTCTTCCCCAGCATCCACATTCTGTCTAGTCTATATCTCTCATGACCCACAGTCTGTCTAGCCCACCCCTAGCACCAACAGTCTGTCTAGTCCCACCCCCCCCCCCCCACCCAGCACACACATTGTGTCTAGTCTCACTCTCTTCCAGCATCCATAGTCTGTCTTGTCTTTCTCTCTCTCTCTCCCCTTCCCCCAGCACCCACATTCTGTCTAGTCTATCTCTCACATTTGCCACAGTCTGTCTTGTCTCTCTTTCCCAGCATCCACATTCTGTCCAGTCTATTTCTCCCATCACCCGCTGTAAATTGTGTCTCTCTTCCCCAGCACCCAGAGCCTGTCCAGTCCCTGCCTAAGCAGCAAATTCTTTCTAGTCTCCTCCCAGCCCCACAGTCTAGTAAATACCCCAGAAGCCAAAGTCTGTCTAATCTCTCTTTCCCAGCCCCCACAGTCTGTCGAACCTCTCTCTCTTTCTCTCTCTGTCTCTTTCTCTCTCTCTCTCTCTCTCTCTCTCTCTCTCTCATTCTCTCTCGTTCCCTCTCCCTTTCTCTCTCTCTTTCTCTCTCTCTTTATCTCTCTCTTTCTCTCTCTCTTTATCTCTCTCTCTTTCTCTCTCTCTTTATCTCTCTCTTTCTCTCTCTCTTTATCTCTCTCTCTTTCTCTCTCTGTCTTTTTCTCTTTCTCTTTCTCTCCCATCTCTCTCTTTCTCTCTCTTTTCTCTCTCTCTTTATCTCTCTCTCTTTATCTCTTTCTCTCTTTCTCTCTCTGTCTTTTTCTCTTTCTCTTGCTATCCGTCTCTCTTTTTCTCTCTCTTTCTCTCTCTTTCTCTCTCTTTCTCTCTCTTTTTCTTTCTCTCTCTCTCTCTCTCTCTCTCTCTCTCTCTCTCTCTGTTTTTTTCTCTCTCTCTCTCCCTCTCTCTCTTTCCAAAGATCGTGGGTTCAGGTTCTAACGGAGCCAGAGGTTTTGTCAAAAAACTGACCTGACCTGCTAGGTCGATCTAGTGTATTGATTGGCACTTATAGAAAGAAGTAGAAAGGTAGAAGAACACTACATCTTTCTATGAGTGCCAATCAATACACTTTCTGTTACTTGATTAATACATAAAAATTAAAGGTTCCCCCTCTGTTTATTTATAGGTTGATTTGGGCTCAAAATGATAAAAAAGGCTTATATTTCCAGTACTCCAGAAGGCGTGAAGAAAGGTACCAAATCACCCCCCCCCCCCACCGACCCCCTCCCACCCCCCCCCCCCCCAAAAAAAAAAAACCTGCTGAAAGAAAGTATATCAACTTACAATGAAAGACGAGGGCCAGCATGGCGGTGAATGCGGCCATGCAGAAGTAGACCAGCGCTGTGTACCGTCGACCTATGCTGGGGGAGAGAGAGAATAAAGCCTGTAGTTTCCCTCATCTGTCGCTTGTCGTCTGCATACGTTTATCTGGTTATCAACTACAATATTTCACCCGTATTTATTTAACTTTTCTCCCGTTTATTACTTACAGTATTTTACCTACATTTGTGTTCGTTATCTAAAACTAACTACTGATCATTTAAATCATCCCACAGTACGATACACATTCATTTAAAGACTATAGAGACGTAAATATATCTATACTATAAATACACTCCCTTTCTGTATTTGAAGTGTTCATTATAAATTAACTGTTAACTTTTCCCAGCCCGTGACTAACACATGTGTTCAATTTTCAGTTACTGTTATGGCTGCAATGTTTAATTTACCAGTCATATTGGCGGTCAGGTTTTTGTGCATTTTTGTTGCTGCCATAATCAGTGAAAGTAAACTTTCGTTGGGATTATATCCCTTTGAAAAAGTTACATTTCATTGTTTTCTACCTTGAAACGAAGACTGCGAGTTAGTGGCATTAGTGGAGATCGTTGTTTTCTAGGTCAGATTTGGGGAACTGCCAACATGCTGAATTGTAACCATGAGTCAGGCCCTGAATCATTGCCCCATCACTCCAAAGGAGAGCTAAGGTGGTGGTAGCGCTATCTTTAGGAAGTTTTTAAAAGGGTAGGAAATTATAGGGAAGAGAAAAAGTGGGTCAGAAAGAATAAATACTTTATGTTAGCTTCACAAAATCGATCACAATAAGCGCACAAAGGACGTTGCGGCGATTAACTTTCATCAGTACACAAAGAACAATACAGTACACATACCCAAATATGCTCTAACTATAAAGTGACTACATAGGACTGTAAAAAAAAAAAAAATTATACTTATCTGTGTCCCTGGTGAAAAACTTCGTTCAAGAGGATGAACAGGACAGGTGCTAGCCTATATATCGGCAACGCGCGGACGGAAACGAAAACTGGGTCGGTATACCTGGGTAAAGGGCGGACTAGATGCTAACAGACACAATAGCGTACACTGAGTGTCTAGACGGGCGGGAGGGGTTGGCCAGTATGGCGTAACCAGAGTTGGGTCGTGGGTGGAAGAACTGGTTTAGGGCGCTCCTACAACTCCACCTAGGGCCGTGACTCAGGGGCCAGCTTCCTCCCCCTGTAAAAAGGAATTGGCTACATAAACTTCAAAGACGTACAATGAAATGGGACACTGACAGGTTCAAGAAACGAGGGCGTCCAAGAGAGTTTAAAGACGGAGGGCTCATGTCTGTCTCGCTCCTCCATAGAGTTTTATGTCAAATCAGTACTATTGTATGGGGCGGAAACATGGAGAACAACCAAGGCAATTACTAATAAATTACAGACATTCATTAACTGGTGCCTGCGCAGAATAGAGGGAATAAAATGGTATGATAGAATAACTAATATAGAACTTTGGGAGAGAACTAAACAGGCTCCAGTGGATCAGGAAGTGAGGAAAAGACGCTGGCGTTGGATAGGACACACACTGAGAAAACAGGAGAACAGCATTACTAGAATGTCTTTGCATTGAAACCCACAGGGGCATAGGAATAAATTAAGGCCAAAAAACACATGGAGAAGAGAGCTGGAGAACGAGGTTAGAAAGATGGGGAGGACATGGGGAGAGCTCCATGCAATGGCGAAGGATAGAACGACTTGGCGTGAGTTGGTTGAGGGCCTATGCTCCATTGGGGGGATAGAAAGGCAGAAAAAGAAAGAAGAAGAAGACGACAGCAGAGAAGACCAAGATAAGAATAAAACCTTTACTACCTCGGGTGAAACTGGGCAGTTAAATCTAGTACATATAAACATATATCAATGTGAACTTATGTATTTATAACTATGAAGATATTAAAGTCAGGGTCTATATATAAATTATTAACACTATAAAGATATAAAGGTAATATTCTATATATGAAACGATAATCAAAATAACGATAAAAGAGCAAAATTGTCCTCATTCTGCGTTCATTCAGAGATGTAACTGTGATATGGATGCAACATTTGCGACTTTATATCGACGCATCCTACTTTTGCAGGCATTTGCTGACCGGGTTGGACATCTTGTATCATCATTATCAGGTGCCTTGCCTACTGGCGTGGGCGATTATGCCTCTCCACAATCTGCGATCTCCTGCAGCATGTATCAGTTCATGTGCTGACACACCCCCATGCCATGCAACAAGACAGATCCGTGTATGTAAAACGATAATAGATTTAAAGATATCAAGGTAAGGTTCCAGATCCAGAAGGAGCACGGGAACTCACCAATTGTTGAAATAGTAGGTAGCCATGACGAACGGGATCTCGATGGCTTCTACGAGAAACATGTTGAGGTAGACATTTCCGGCCAGACCTGACACGCCCAGGATGATTCCATAGCCGACCAGCGAGGTGGTGAACCTGGGGGAAGAAAAGTGAAGGTTGTGTGAACCTGGGGAGAGATGGAAGGTTGTGTCAACCTGGGCAGAGATGGAAGGTTGTGTGAACCTGGGGAGAGATGGAAGGTTGTGTGAACCTGGGGAGAGATGGAAGGTTGTGTGAACCTGGGGAGAGATGGAAGGTTGTGTGAACCTGGGGCGAGATGGAAGTTTGTGTGAACCTGTGGAGAGATGGGAGGTTGTGTGAACCTGGGGAGAAATGGAAGGTTGTGTGAACCTGGGGAGAGATGAAAGGTTGTGTGAACCTGGGGAGAGATGGGAGGTTGTGTGAACCTGGGGGAGAGATGGGAGGTTGTGTGAACCTGGGGAGAGATGGAAGGTTGTGTAAACCTGGGGAGAGATGGAAGGTTGTGCAAACCTGGGGAGAGATGTGTGGTTGTGAACCTGTGGGAGAGATGAGAGATTTTTAAACGGGTTGGGGGTGGGAAATGTGAACCAGGGTGTGAGGCATTGAAGGATGTCAACCTGAAGAGGAGATTACGAATTTTGGGAGATTGTCAACCTGGAGGGTGGGGGGAGGGGGAAGGGTAGATTAGATCATGTGAACTGGGGGAGGGGTGGGGGAGAGATTGAAAACTCGGGGTGGGAGAAGGTGGGTATGGCGGGATTTATGCACCTGGTGAAATCGGAGATTGTGAACCTAGGGTAGAAGGTGGATATTATTTACTAAAGGAGAGACTGTGAACCTGATCGGGCGGGGGGGGGGGGGGATTAGGGATTGTTAACCTGGAGGGGGGATTTGGAGATTGTGATCCTAGGGTTATAAACCGAGGAGGGGAATCGAAGATTGTAAAACTGAGCGATTGTAAACTGGGAAGTGGGGGGGGGGGGGGGGTATTTTTAGCCTGGTGGATATTGTGAGCCTTTAGTAAGACTTCGTGAATTCAGAAAGGGGAGGGGGGTGGAGATACAAGATAACACTGTTAGCCTGTCATACATTACAGCACTGTTAGCATAACAAGACAGTTGGTCTATCATACAAGATAACAAAGTTGACCTATCATGCAGTACAACACTGTTGATATACAACAAAGCACTGTTGGCCTACTGTACAACATAACACCTACCATAAAAAAACAACTCTGTAGGCCCACCATACAACATAACACGGCTGGTCTACCATACAATTCAACTCTGTAGGCCTACCATACAACATAACACAGTTAGCTAACCATACAACATAACACTTTTAGCCTCTCATAGAATAAAACACCGTTGACATCTCATACGAGATAACACTGTTGGCCTCTCATAGAAGATAACAGTATTAGCATAACAAACAAGAAAGCACGACTGACATAATGTACAAGACAACACTGTGAGCCTACCATACAAACTGTTGTGTCAAAGTGAGCCTGGCCATTCTCCAGCCACGGTAGACGTCCACATAGGTGTACTTTTGTCCGCTCTCTAGAGTCTCCCTCTCTCTCTCAGCGACTTTCTGTGAATAGACAAGTTGCAATGTCTGTCTGTCTGTCTATCTGTCTGTCTATCTGTCTATCTGTCTGCCTGCCTGCCTGTCTGTCTGTCTGTCTGTCTGTCTGTCTGTCTGTCTGTCTGTCTGTCTGTCTGTCTGTCTGTCTGTCTGTCTGTCTGTCTGTCTGTCTGTCTGTCTGTCTGTCTGTCTGTCTGTCTGTCTGTCTGTCTGTCTGTCTGTCTGTCTGTCTGTCTGTCTGTCTGTCTGTCTGTCTGTCTGTCTGTCTGTCTGTCTGTCTGTCTGTCTATCTATCTATCTATCTATCTATCTATCTATCTATCTATCTTAGATCTGTCTGTCTGTCTGTCTGTCTGTCTGTCTGTCTGTCTGTCTGTCTGTCTGTCTGTCTGTCTGTCTGTCTGTCTGTCTGTCTGTCTGTCTGTCTGTCTAAGTATGCTAACAGTGTAGTAATTTCCAATCTATCTATTATATTTAGTAAAATGTAGGCATACTTTGAGTACAGTGTTAGAAAGATGTTGTTTATGATGCCTCTTATTATTATTACTATTATTATTATTATTATTATTATTATTATTATTACTATGTGCTAAAACAATGTGTGCATAAATAATGTATGCATGGCGTGAGGCCAGAAGGGCAGAATGTAAGACGGGCCAGTGTGCTCAATTCTTAACCCCTTGAAAAAAGTTTGTTCGTTTGTTCCATCCATCCAGACTGTCGATGTATCCTACCAGACTGTCACTGTATCATTCCAGACTGTCGCTGTATCCTACCAGACTGTTACTGTATCATTCCAGTCTGTCGCTGTATCCTACCAGCCTGTCACTGTATCATTCAAGACTGTCGCTGTATCCTACCAGACTGTCGCTGTATCCTACCAGATTGTCACTGTATCCTGGCAGTCTGTCGCTGTATCCTTCCAGACTGTCACTGTATCCTAGCAGACTGTCGCTGTATCCTGGCAGACTGTCACGGTATCCTGGCAGACTGTCACTGTATCCTGGCTGACTGTCACTGTATACTGGCAGACTGTCGCTGTATCCTCCCATACTGTTACTGTATAGTTCCAGACTGTCGCTGTATCCTGCCATTCTGTTACTGTATCCTGCCAGACTGTTACTGTATCCTTCCAGACTGTCGCTGTATCCTTCCAGACTGTCGCTGTATCCTTCCAGACTGTCGATGTATCCTGGCAGACTGTCACGTTATCCTGGCAGACTGTCACGTTATCCTGGCAGACTGTCACGTTATCCTGGCAGACTGTCACTGTATCCTGGCACACTGTCACTGTATCCTGGCAGACTGTCACTGTATCCTGGCAGACTATCACTGTATTCTGGCAGACTATCACTGTATTCTGGCAGACTATCACTGTATCGTGCAAGACTGTCAATTTAACATGCCAGACTGTCACTGTATCCTGGCAGACTGTCACTGTATCCTGCCAGACTGTCACAGTATTCTGCCAGACTGTCTTTAAATCTGGCCAGATTATAACTATTACTTGTCAGAATGTGACAGTCCACAAATACACTATTCCACTGACACAATAAAGCTAGCAGGAGTCTGCACTGTCAGTGTACCTTTGGTGGTCTCCCCTTACATGTGTGGATTCGCATATTTGAATCACTTCTGATTTCCATTCGTTTTTCACACTACGCACACTGTGTTTAAAGATTGTTTCAAGATTACATTTTAGTTTACGAGAGAGAGAGAGAGAGAGAGAGAGAGAGAGAGAGAGAGAGAGAGAGAGAGAGAGAGAGAGAGAGAGAGAGAGAGAGAGAGAGAGAGATCACAGAGAGAGTGTGTGTGTACTAGGATATATGGTATGAGCTTACATTGATGTATATCAATATGTGCAACATATGCTAGCATGTTTTAGTTGTATATGTTTGTATTGCATATGTATCATTATAATTCTGTCATCCCCTTGTAGGATGCAATTTTGCGTTATTTGAAGCCCTACTCTGGCTCTTGCCATTGGCCGCAATATAGCCCGGCCACAAATAAGGTCTAATGGCTGAACGCGGTTTTTAGGCCCTCTCCACGGGTGATCCTCATCCACATGGTGGCACTTAGTGTCATCAGGTGTTTATCGCTTGTGTGATGTCCTGGTGGGGGTAAAAGAAGATAAAGATATTGCGTATGTTTGTATTGATCCACAGCCTCACTTTGATTTTCTGCAGACATTTCTCCGGGTTGTATTCTCTTTTATTCATCCTGGCGATTTGATCCACCACTTTGGCCGCCTCCTCCACCCGTCCTTTGACGGTCAGCCACCGGACACTCTCTGGCATGTAGCTGTTGGCAACAAGAACATTAAAAGTTAACCTAAATCAACGGTTCTCAACTTGTAGGTCAGGGAGAGGAGGGGGGGGGGGGGGCTGAGTGGTCTCGAGGTATGGTGTCCGCCTCGTGTGCTAGAGATCCCGGGTTTAGGCCCTGGTGAATGACTTCTAGTTATTTCCCATGGTCTCTAGGTAGTAAGACCGGATGCCCGTGTGTATTATGGCGCACGTGAAAAATCCTTGGCAGTTGGAAATCGAAAAGAATACCCTAACGGCGCTGCCCCGGAAAAAATTTTAAGTTTAAAATCTGCCCAAAATAGTTCTGGATCTTCGCCGGAGCAACGGAGTTTGTACACTGCACTGAGATTTTCAGACTCGAGCTTGAGTTGGGAGAAGAACGGAGCACTTATGGGTTACTCCCGAGTGCCATGATGTTGATCCGTTAATCAAACAAACAAACGTGTAGGTCGCGACCCATTTTTGGGTCAAATGACTCTCTCCCAGGGTCACTTAAACCATCGAAAAAACAGATAGTCATTAAAGTTATGAAGTGGTAACGAGAATAATTGTATCTTTGGGGGTAGGGGGATAAGGGGGTCACCACATCATAAGGGTCTGTATGAAAGGGTTGCCGCATTAGAAATATCGAGAACAACTGATCTAGAGCAATGGATTAGTTCCACGTTAGTATCCTCAGACCCCGCCCATAAACACACTAGCTTTCTTCTGACTGGTAGTTCCTGAGCCACGTGACCTTCGCACAAGGTTACGGGGGTGTTCCGTAATGCAGTTGATATCGCGTGTTGTATATTTCAGCACGACAACGATTTTAACACTCCAAAACCATGGAGAAACTCGATATAACACAACTACCATAGAGCGTGCTGCAACCTATGTCACAAGCATTCTCTTTCTCGGAATGACATCGCAAGACATCGCAGAAACCAAACACACCCGTAACCTTCAGGAAAGTGTCCAGCCCAACAAACTTGCGAATGAAAAGTGACCTACTCTGTTTAGGAGGACTAACGTCGAACTAACTGAGCAATGATGTTCAATTTGGTTGTGGTGGTGATGGTGATGGTGGTGGGAGGGGGGGGAAGGGGGCGTTGAGGAAGTTTTAAAGGGAAGTCGCGCAATTTTGAAAATGAGTGCATCTGTAATTGTATTAATCTGGATTGTCAGTTTTAACGGTCATGAAAACAAAACAGTATTGCCAGCTTGATGTGGAGAGTGTCGAACATCAAACCGAAAATAGCAGATATCATCTATACAACACAGTGTCAAACATTGATATTTGGACACTAAATTATCATTTGTTTTCAGGATTGTTTCTTTCATTATTTAGGGAGTCGCCGTGGCGTTAGCTGCTAGCTCCCGCCTGCGGATCGAAAGGTCGTGGGTTCGCGTCCTGACGCAGCCGGACTTTTTTTTCTTCAAAATGACTGACACCCAGGTCGACCAAGCCTTGAGTGGGTATCAGGTGCAGTCCTGGAAAGTAAAGGCGACCGCATAGTGCTGACTGGTCTATAAAAATATAGGTCTAGCCCTGTATTCTAGCCTAAAGGCGGGAAAAAAGGACATACTTTTTTTTTCTTTTTTTTAATATCGTTATTTGACACTTTGAATTGTGTATGTGTTTTTTTCTCCACGTTTTTGTCACAATTTTTTGATTTCTTTTTTCCCCTCCTGTTGTCCTTCTCTTTTGCAATCACATTTTCGGTTAGTTCGATGTTAGTCTACCCAGACCCCAGCCATATACACACTAGCTCACTTCTGATTGGTTGTTACTGAGCCTCATAACCTTCGCACACTGTTAAGGGGATGTTTCATAATGACGTTGATATCTCGTGCTGTATATTTCAGGACTCCAAAAACATGCGAGAAACTGGCCCGAACACAACACCCCTAGAGAGTGCTGCAACCTATGTCACAGGCGTTCTCTTTCTCGGAATGAAAACGTAAATGCAAGACATCACAGAAACCAAACAGAGCGGGACACACCCGTAACCTTCAGGAAAGTCGGCTAGCCCAACAAACTTGTAGATGAAAGGTGACCTACTCTATTTGGGGAGACTAACGTCGAACTAACCACATTTTCTGGTGAAAAAAAAAAGGTTTTAAGGGGAGGGGGTAATTTAAACGCTGAACTGATTGAATCTCGACGTGTTCTGACAAACTTGATAATACACACAATGCATAGCATAGCGAGGTCGCTGACTAAGTCTAAAGAAGTCACGTGATAAAGTCGGCTAACACTGCCTTTAAAGGACTTGCAACATACATGGGCGAGACACAGGTAGACAGATTTACATACAGACAGGGAGGGAAAGGGGTGGGGGCATAGTGGTCTCGTAGCATGGCGTCCGCCTCGAGTACTTGAGGTCTCGGGTTCAGGCCCTGGTGACACCTATGAGGGATTCTTTTTTACGTGAACTTCTAGAAATTTCCGCTGGTCTCTGGATGGTAAGATCGGATGCCCGTGTGTATTGTTGCGCATGTAAAAAAAAAAATCAGTTGGCAGTTGGGAATCGAAAAGGGTAGCCTAACGGTGCTGTCCGGGCATATTTTTTGTGTTAAACAACTACTTAAAATGTTTTCCAGGATCCTCGCCGGTGCTACGGAGTTCTTCAGACTCAGGCTTAAGTTAGAGGTAGAACCAATCACTTATGCGTTACTACCCTTGTGCCATGATGTTGATCCGTTGTTGAAACCATAAACCATAAACAAACGAATAGACTGGCAGAGATACATACATACATGCAGCCATTCACACCGACAACAAAACAAACGGGCAAATAGAGAGATATGCAGATTGATAGACTGAGGGATAATCAGGAGAAATACATGTTGTTGGCACTTGATAATAGTGTTATACTGTGCCTTGAGGATGTATAGGACTCATAGCCTATTACGATGGCGAGTGTGAGTAGCAAGACCCGCCCGCGTTAAGAAAAGTCTTCCACGATTACAGCATGGGATTTCAGGACCATTGTTGTCAACATATGTGTTTAGTCCTGTTTCTTCTCAGACGCTCAGCTCTCATCCTTGCTGCAATCATTTCCTTATTCATTCGCGTTCCCGCCCTGATTTGGCCCGTCCACACAACACGCTCCATGGTATTTTGTTCCTACGAATCCACCTCAGTCCCTGTGGCATTCATGTTCCGCTTGCACACATCTCTAGATCATAGCAGATATCAGCCCCGACATCTTTTATACGTCTATAATTCGCCATGGAGCAGTGGTTCTCAACCTGTCGTTTGCGACCCCCTTTTTTAGTCGAAAGACCCTTTCACAGGGTTCGCCTAAAACCATTGGAAAACACATATTCATTGAAGCTATGAAGTAAAATAATTGTTTGGGGGTCGCCACAACATGAGTTAACTATATTAAAGTATTTAAGGGTCGCCCCATTAGGACGGTTGAGAGTCACTGCCATAGAGGATGCGCCAAGGGGACGTACATACACAAAGCATATAGAGACGGTGAGACAAAATGTGCATAACACACTATAACCCTTGATCCGTTAGGGTCGGGGAGGTGTATCGATCGAAGCACTAGCATAAAAAACGCGCAACCTTTCTCTCGTCTTCCGCTTGAGAAATAAGTATATGATACCTTAGTACTGTCCATTTCTTGATGTAATTTCAGGTTCTTCTTTGCTCTCCTACGCCTTGCGTTGGTTTCGACAGTGGTATCAGAGAGCCGACCGTTTAGAAAGCAATGGCATACTACTGGATGTAAATTTGCCTAGTGAAACCACACAACAGCCAGGGGCTGATAGGGTTGGTTCTGCAAAGTCTTGTAAAGGATACACAACTAACTGACCTTTGCTCTCCCTTTCTCTGACTATCCACCGCCCTCTTTACCCTAATGGGAGATATCTATTTCGATGAACAGATCAACAGACAGACAAATATGGACAAATGTGCTGACAAACGTACGGACAGACAGACAGAAACAAGGGACAGTAATCTTACAAGTATCCTACAAGAAAAGGCGCACACATCATGGCGCAGAGAAAGTGCATCCATCGCCAGTCTGGCAACATCCAAGCAGCCAAGGGAAGCAGTGAGGCGCCGATAGCGGCAAAGGGTAGTGAGGCAGGGATCACCCGCCATCTTGGTGAGACAAACTCTAGGATGTAAGGCACATGTACCACCAGGTAGGCGCCAATAGCAGCTCCGATACCAAACCTGATGAGGACGACGATGATAATGATGATAGATCTACCACCACCACCACTACTACTACTACTACTACTACTACTACTACTACTACTACTACTACTACTACTACTACTACTACCACTACTACCATTACTACTACTAGTACTACTACTATTACTACTACCAGCACTACTACTACTACTACTACTACTACTACTACTACTACTACTACTACTACTACTACTACTACTACTACTACTACTACTACTACTACTACTTCTACTACTACTACTACTACTACTACTACTACTACTACTACTACTACTACTACTACTACTACTACTACTACTACTACTACTACTACCACTACTACTAATACTACTACTACCATTACTACTACTACTACTACTATTACTACTACCAGCACTACTACTACTACTACTACTACTACTACTACTTCTACTACTACTACTACTACTACTACTACTACTACTACTACTACTACTACTACTACTACTACTACTACTACTACTACTACTACTTCTACTACTTCTACTACTACTACTACTACTACTACTACTACTACTACTACTACTACTACTACTACTACTACTACTACTACTACTACTACTACTTCTACTACTTCTACTACTACTACTACTACTACTACTACTACTACTACTACTACTACTACTACTACTACTACTACTACTACTACTACTACTACTACTACTACTACTACTACTACTACTACTACTACTACTACTATAACTACTACTACTTCTACTACTTCTACTACTTCTACTACTTCTACTACTACTACTACTACTACTACTACTACTACTACTACTACTTCTACTACTTCTACTACTACTACTACTACTACTACTACTACTACTACTACTACTACTACTACTACTACTACTACTACTACTACTACTACTACTACTACTACTACTACTACTACTACTACTACTACTACTACTACTTCTACTACTACTACTACTACTACTACTACTACTACTACTACTACTACTACCACTACTACTAATACTACTACTACCATTACTACTACTACTACTACTATTACTACTACCAGCACTACTACTACTACTACTACTACTACTACTACTACTACTTCTACTACTACTACTTCTACTACTACTACTACTACTACTACTACTACTACTACTACTACTACTACTACTACTACTACTACTACTACTACTACTACTACTACTACTACTACTTCTACTACTACTACTACTACTACTACTACTACTACTACTACTACTACTACTACTACTACTACTACTACTACTACTACTACTACTACTACTACTACTACTACTACTACTACTACTACTACTACTACTACTACTACTACTACTACTACTACTACTACTACTTCTACTACTTCTACTACTTCTACTACTTCTACTAATGCTAATGATAATCATAATAATAATAGTAAAAAAAGGTGAAGTAGAAGAAAGAAAAAAAATGTGCGTTTGTGTGTATGCGTATGTGTGAAAGAGGCTGTATCATGGACACAGAGGAACGATTTGAGATTATATCATAAACAGGAACAAATAAATAATTGATTCGAGAGTATATCATAAATAGGAACAAATAAATGATTGATTCGAGAGTATATCATAAACAGGAACAAACATCATGAACAAGGAACAAAGGAATGATAAGAAATTATATCATAAACAAACGACTGATTCAAAATTAAATCATAATCAGTAACAAATGCATGCTATGAGATTATATCATAAACATGAACAAACAAAGGAATGTAGCGAGAGTATATCATAAACATGAACAAACAAATGAATGTGGTGAGAATTTATCATAAACAGAAACAAACAAAGGAATGAGGTGATATTATATCATAAACATGAACAAACAAAGGAATGTGGCGAGAGTATATCATAAACATGAACAAACAAATGAATGTGGTGAGAATTTATCATAAACAGGAACAAACAAAGGAATGAGGTGAGATTATATCATAAACAGGAATAAATAAATGATTGATTCTAGAGTATATCAAAAACAGGAACAAATAACTTACTGATTCGAGAGTATATCATAAACATAAACAAACAAAGGAATGAGGCGACATTATATCATAAACAGGAACAAAGAAAGGAATAAGGGGAGATTATATCATATACAGGAAAATCCAAAGACTGAGTTACCTGAAGACGGCAAACATTGGCCAAGAATTGGACAACCCGGCCCCCACGTTGAACAGCGCGTGGACTAGAAGCGTGCAGAAGTGGACATGTTTGCGTCCGAACTCGTCTGCCAGGAACCCACACAGGACAGCTCCGACCATAACCCCGGCCATTTGGATGGAGGACAGCGAGGATACAACCCACTTGTGGTCACACACTAGGTCCCACTGTGGATGTAAAGACACGTAACCTAATGATAGTCGATTCTGAACATTATCACTTTTATCTTTCCCAGGTTCTCATCGAGATAAACAAATACCCTTGATCACCTACCCAAGTCTCATACCTGACATATCCGTAAAAAGTAAAGTAAGTAAAGAACCATTTCCCAAGCCAAACGGCACATTACCTCCCAGTACTGCACCTGGTACACAGTCAAGGCTGGGTCGACCTGAGAGCCAAGGTCAGTTTTGAAAAAAAAACAGTCTAGCCCCGTCACGAACTGAACCCACGACCTTCCGATCAGCAGGCGAACGTCTAGCCGCTACACCACGGTGGCTCGTTTATATGTTCGTACCTCTCATAATTGTATTTCTCACTTGTTAACACCTTAAATGATATTGCTGAATTATAAACCTCACTTGGCTCAACTTGTGCACTCGTGTATCCACATCTCTTGCCTAGCTTGGCTCAACTTGTACCCTGGTGTACACACATGTCATGCCTCGCCTGGCTCAGCTTGTACCCTGGTGTCTCCACATCGCATGCCTCGCTTGGCTTAACTTGTACCCTCGTGTATCCACATGCCATGCCTCGCATGGCTCAACTTGTATCCTCGTGTATCCACATCTCATACTTTGCTTGGCTCAGCTTGTACCTTCGTGTATCCATATACCATGCCTCGCTTGGCTCAGCTTGTACCCTCGTGTATCCACATCTCATTCCGTGCTTGGCTCAACTTGTACCCTAGTGTACCCACATCTCATGCCTTGCTTGGCTCAGTTTGTATCCCGATGTATCCACATCTCATGCCTCGCTTGGCTCAACTTGTACCCTTGTGCATCCACATCTCATGCCTCGCTTGGCTCAACTTGTACACTTGTGCATCCACATCACATTCCTAGCTTGGCTCAACTTGTATCCTTGTGCATCCACATCATATTCCTAGCTTGGCTTAGCTGAGGAAATGTAATGATAATCAAGTAGAGGGATATTAGAATGATATCCCTTATAACACCACCAGAGCCCTAGATAGAACCTCTGCCCTGATACAATGCGCCCCCCCCCAAACTCTCATAACAACAGAGCTGTTTCCTCATTACACACACACACACACACACACACACACAAAACCCACCCACCCACCCACCCCCCCCACACACACAAACACAAACACAAACACAAACACACACAAACGCACACACACAAACACACACAAAGACACACACAAAGACACACACACACACACACACACAAAGACACACACACACAAAGACACACACACACACAAAGACACACACACAAAGACACACACACACAAAGACACACACACACACACACACAAAGACACATACACACACAAAGACACACACACACACAAAGACACACACACACACACAAGACACACACACACACACAAAGACACACACACAAAGACACACACAAAGACACACACACAAAGACACACACACACAAAGACACACACACACAAAGACACACACACACACAAAGACACACACACACAAAGACACACACACACAAAGACACACACACACACACAAAGACACACACACACACACACAAAGACACACACACACACAAAAGACACACACACACACACACACACACACACACACACACACACACAAAGACACACACACACACAAAGACACAACAGAAAACGTAAATATTGGATTCTTGGCTAGCTCAGTAGTGAAACAGATACATGGAAATTTGTTCAGTCGATCGATCTCGTTTAACATCCGTATTTGAGATTACGGTACTTCTCCACATGGTGTGATGCATATAAATGAATATTTGAAATCGTTTTTACTTCTCTACAAGGTGTGATACAAATAATAATAATTTTGAGATTGTGGTACTTCTCCACAAGGTGTGATACAGATCGATGAAATTTTTGAGATTGTGGTACTTCTCCACAAGGTGTGATACAGATCGATGAAATTTTTGAGATTGTGGTACTTCTCCACAAGGTGTGATACAGATCGATGAAATTTTTGAGATTGTGGTACTTCTCCACAAGGTATGATACAGATCGATGAAATGTTTGAGATTGTGGTACTTCTCCACAAGGAATGACACAGATAGGTCAAATTTTGAAATTGTGGTACTTCTCCACATGGTATCATTCAGATAGATCTATTTTTGAGATTGTGGTACATTTCCATAAGGTATGAAAGAGAGAGATCCAATTTTGAGATTGTAGTACTTCTCCATATGGTGTGATACAGAAAGATAAAATTTTGAGATTGTGGTACTCCATATGGTATGATACAGACAGATCAAATTTTACGACTGTGGTACTTTCTTACATGGTAGGATACAGACAGATCAAATTTTAAGACTGTGGTACTTCCTTACATGGTAGGATACAGACAGATCAAATTTTAAGACTTTGGTACTTCCTTACATGGTAGGATACAGACAGATCAAATTTTAAGATTGTTGTACTTCTCCACATGTTTGGATAATCTGTTTATTATAGAAGGTTGCAGTGCTTGTCATCGTGTTTGCAGTTGTAAAACGGGTACAACTCGGATAAAAACAAAGCCATACGCATAAAACAGTAAAACATACAGGAAACACATATACAACACAGATAAAACATAGATAACACAGATGAATTATAGATAAACCAATTAAAACATAGGTAAAACATACACAGATCCAATAAAACGGATAAAATACATACAACATAGAAAAAACGGATAAATTATAGATAAAGAGATAAACGTAGGTAAAACATATAATTCCCAGGTCGACCCAGCCTTGAGTGGGTACCGGGAAAGTAAAGGCGGCCGGCGTGATGCTGACCACATCACCCATCTTGTGCCGATTGGTCTATAAAAATATAGGTCTAGCCCTATAGGCCCTATACGCTTAAAGGCGTAGAAAATGGTCCTTTACTAAAAAAAAAAAAAAAACATAGAATCGATAACACGGATACAAGAGATGAAACCTAGGTAAAACAGATAAAGCACATATAACAGATAAATCATTGATAAAACAGATAAAAATAGTTTTAATCCAACAAAACAGATAATACAGATAAAACGTGGGTAAAACAGATAAGACATATAAAATATAGATACAAACACAGAAACCACAGCGAGCAACTGACCTCCGTCACGGAAGTGGACGCGCCATCAGGATCCAGAAAGATTCTCCTGGAGCAGAAGCTGGAGTTGAGGCCGCATTCTTTGTGTGTGGGCCGCGGAGAGTGGAGAGAGGAGAAGTTGTTCTTGTCCACGCCACATGTGTCATCGGAGCCACCCTCGGGCACACAGCACCAGTCGGGCTCATATGCCACGTAGGACATGATCGTCATGCTCCACTGGATAGGCATCTTAGGCATTGCCAGGATCAAGATGGTCACGACCTGGAAGTATCCTTCGTTGCCAATATCCTTGAGAATGTCTGCTAAGTTCATGACAGCTGGTTGGAGTGTGGGCCTTCAGGAAGCGGGCTCGATCGTTCACGTTTCTTTAGGAGGCAGGACAGAAATATAGGAGACGGGAGACTGTCCTGGGAGACAGGACGCATTTAAAAATGCTTGTGAGTTACTGACGACAGAATACTTTTCTGTGACAGTATAGAAATCTTCGGGGAAATAGGGGGAAGCGATCTGGGTTAGTCTTTTAGAGACTGACTACTGTTGAATGTGAGTGAGTGGTCAACGTTGTGTGAGAGTGGTCAGTGTTGTGTGAGAGTGGTCAGTGTTGTGTGAGAGTGGTAAGTATTGTGTGAGAGTGGTCACTGTTGTGTGAGAGTGGTGTGTGAGAGTAATCACTTTTGTGTGAGAGTGGTGTGTGGATTCGGTCACTGTTGTGTGAGAATGGTGTGTCAGAGTAATCACTATTGTGTGAGAGTGGTCACTGTTGTATGAGACTGATCACTGTTGTGTGAGAGTGGTGTGTGAGAGTGGTGTGTGAGAGTGGTGTGTGAGAGTGGTCACTTTTGTATTAGAGTGGTTTGTGAGAGTGGTGTTTAAGAGTGGTAACTGTTGTGTGAGAGTGGTGTGTGAGAGTGGTGTGTGAGAGTGGTCACTTTTGTGTGAGAGTGGTGTGTGTGAGTGGTCACTTTTGTGTGAGCGTGGTGTGTGAGAGTGGTCACTTTTGTGTGAGAGTGGTCACTTTTGTGTGAAAGTGGTTTATGAGTGTGGTCACTTTTGTGTGAGTGTGGTGTGTGAGAGTGGAGCGTGAGAGTGATCACTGTTGTGTGAGAGTGATCACTATTGTGTGAGAGTGGTCACTTTTGTGTGAGAGTGGTCACTGTTGTGTGAGAGTGATCACTGTTGTGTGAAAGTGATCACTATTGTGTGAGAGTGGTCACTGTTGTGTGAGAGTGATCACTGTTGTGTGAGAGTGGTCACTGTTGTGTGAGAGTGGTCACTGTTGTGTGAGAGTGGTCACTGTTTTGTGAGAGTGATCAGTGTTGTGTGAGAATGATCACTGTTGTGTGAGAGTGATCACTGTTGTGTGAGAGTGATCACTATTGTGTGAGAGTAGTCACTGTTGTGTGAGAGTGATCACTATTGTGTGAGAGTGATCACTGTTGTGTGAGAGTGATCACTGTTGTGTGAGAGTGGTCACTGTTGTGTGAGAGTGATCACTGTTTTGTGAGAGTGATCACTATTGTGTGAGAGTGGTCACTGTTGTGTGAGAGTGGTCACTGTTGTGTGAGAGTTGTCAATGTTTTGTGAGAGTGGTCACTGTTGTGTGAGAGTTGTCACTGTTGTGTGAGAGTGGTCACTGTTGTGTGAGAGTGATCACTGTTGTGTGAGAGTGGTCACTGTTGTGTGTGTGAGAGTGGTCACTGTTGTGTGAGAGTGATCACTGTTGTGTGAGAGTGATCACTGTTGTGTGAGAGTGGTCACTGTTGTGTGAGAGTGGTAACTAGTGTATGAGGCTGGTCAATGTTGTGTGAGAGTGGTGTGCGAGAGTGGTGCGTGAGAGTGATCACTGTTGTGTGAGAGTGATCACTATTGTGTGAGAGTGGTCACTATTGTAACGAGATTAACTCTGATTTGACGAAACATGCAATATAATGTCAGTTGCTGCAAATATCGTCCCTTGACAGCCTGTTGGACCAGCTAGATCGTTGACAAAGTTGTTGAGGCTTACATTCAGTCGATCGATTGTGGAACGTTAACATCTGCAGAGCGTTCTGTTTATGTATACACACTTCATCTGTTCGCTACAACTAATGTTGCAAACACTTCAGTCACTAGTGAACACGTCTGCTGGTCTCACTAACTACTCATTAACTATCCAAACAGTTCCTTCATTAGTACACACATCTGATGCTTTAACTAAATGCCCAAACACTGCAGTCACTACAACAAAAATCTGCTGGTTTAACTAGCTACCCAAACACTGCAGTAACTATAACATACATCTGGTGGTTTAACTAACTGCCAAGACTATTTAATCACTATAACATATATCTGCTGGTATAACTAACTACCCAAACACTTTAGTCACTATAACATACATCTGCTGGTTTAACTAATCACTCATAAACTTTAGTCACTATAACATGCAACTGCTAATTTAGCTAACTACTCAGGCACTTTAGTCACTATAACATAAATCTGCATGTATAATTAACTACGCAAACACATTAGTCACTATAACATACATCTGCTGGTTTAACTAACTACCCAACACTTCTGTCACGTTAACATACATCTGCTGCTTTAACAAACTACCTAACACTAGAGTAACTTTAACATACATCTGCTGGTTTAACAAACTACCTAACACTAGAGTAACTTTAACATACATCTGCTGGTTTAACAAACTACCTAACACTAGAGTAACTTTAACATACATCTGCTGGTTTAACAAACTACCTAACACTAGAGTAACTTTAACATTCATCTGCTGGTTTAACTAACTACCCAACATTTCAGTCACTTTAACATATATCTGCTGGTTTAACTAAGTACCCAAACACTTCAGTCACTTTAACATATATCTGCTGGTTTAACTAAGTACCCAAACACTTCAGTCACTATAACATGCATCTGCTTGTTTAACTAGCTATCCAAAAACTTCAGTCACTTTAACATACATCTGATGATTTAACTAGCTACCCAAACACTTCAGCCACTATAACATACATCTGCTTGTTTAACTAGCTATCCAAACACTTGAGTCACTATAACATACATCTGCTGATTTAACTAGCTACCCAAACACTTCAGCCATTATAACATACATAACACGTCTGATGGTTTAACTAAGTACCCAAACACTTTAGTCACTATAACATACATTTATTGGTTTAACTAGCTACCCAAACACTTCAGTCACTATAACATTCATCTACCTATTTAACTAACCACCCAAACACTTCAGTCACTATAACATACATTTGTTAGTTTAAATAGCTACCCAAACACTTCAGTCACTATAACATACATCTGCTGGTTTAACTAACTACCCAAACACTTCAGTCACTATAACATACATGTTCTTGTATAACCAAACTACCCAAACACTTCAGTCACTATAACATACATCTGCTGGTTTAACTAACTACCCAAACACTTCAGTCACTATAACATACATGTTCTTGTATAACCAAACTACCCAAACACTTCAGTCACTATAACATGCATCTGCTTGTTTAACTAACTACCCAAACACTTCAGTCACTTTAACATACATCTGATGATTTAACTAGCTACTCAAACACTTCAGCCACTTTAACATACATCTACTGGTTTAACTAACTACCCAAACACTTTAGTCACTATAACATACATCTGCTGATTAAACTCACTTCCCAAATAGTTTTTTCAACAGTGAACAAAGCTGATGGTTTAACTAACTACACAAACACTTTGGTCATTATAACATACATCTGCTGGTTTAATTAACTACCAATATACATCTGCTGGTTTAATTAACTACCCAAATACTTCAGTCACTGTAACATGCAGCTGATGGTTCAACTAATCACTCAAAAACTTTAGTCACTATAACATGCAACTGCGAATTTAGCTAACTACCCAGACACTTTAGTCATTATAACATACATGTGCTGGTTTAACTAACTTGCTAAACAATTCAGTCACTATAACATACATCTGCTGGTATAATTAACTAAGCAAACGCATTAGTCACTATAACATACATCTGCTGGTTTAACTAACAACCCAAACATATTAGTCACTATAACATACATCTGCTGGTTTAACTAACTCCCTAAACACTTCAGTCACCATAACGTACATTTGATGGTTTAACTAACTATCCAAACACCGATGTCACTATAACATACATCTGCTGGTTTAACTAACTACCCAAAACACTTCAGTCATTTTAACATACATCTGCTGGTTTAACTAACTACCCAAACAATTCATTCAGTAGTGAACACGTCTGATGGTTTAACTAACTACAAATGCTGGTTTAACTAACTTAATTATCTGCCCAAAAGCGTCATTCAATAGTAAGACGAATAATGGTTTAACTAGCTACCCGAACAGATCATTCAGAAGCGCAGATGTATTTTAACTAACTAAACACTTCGTGGAAAGGTACACATCTGTTGATACACCTAACTTACCCTCGTCTAACACAAATGTTAACACTGGCTTAAGACAAAGCTCACATAATCCAGGCTTTATCTGCTGTATTTGACTTCTCAATTAGGACCTGTCAACGTTAGTTTTAGTTACACAAGAAATTTATTTAACACAGTTAAACTTACCTAGAGATTAGTCTACACTCAACATGTTCTAGAGATTGGTCTACAGTTAAATTGTTCTAGAGATTGGTCTACAGTTAAACTGTTCTAGAGATTGGTCTACACTCAAACTGTTCTAGAGATTGGTCTACAGTAATTTAAGCTGCACTAGAGATTGGTCTACAGTAATTTAAGCTGCACTAGAGATTGGTCTACAGTAATTTAAGCTGCACTAGAGATTGGTCCACACTCAGACCGTTCTAGAGATTGGTTTACAATTAAATTGTTCTAGAGATTGGTCTGCAGTATGTTAAACTATTATAGAGATTGGTCTACAGAAGGTTAAACTGCACTAGAGATTGGTCCACACTCAAACTGTTTTAGAGATTTGTCTACACTCAAACCGTTCTAGAGACTGGTCTACAGTAATTTAAACTGTTGTAGTTTTATTCACACTTGTAGAGATGTGTCTGGTTCTATTGAACTTGTAAAGGTTGTCTGGGTTTATTTAAAATGCATTAAAAATGTGCAACCGGTTAGTTAAACTGACAGCCAATAATCTAGACTATAATTATGTTACCGCTAATAATCTCGACGAAAATTGTGTCATCCACAAAAATCTAGACTATAATTATGTTACCGCTAATAATCTCGACGAAAATTGTGTCATCCACAAAAATCTAGACTATAATTATGTTACCGCTAATAATCTCGACGAAAATTGTGTCATCC